TTGGTTTTCTTTGCCGACTTGTTGCTGCTTCTAGTCTCCGATTTCGAATTCATCCATGGATTGATATCATCACTATTCTCAACCATAGTCTGTTTCATTCCTGCAATAGACGCCTTCTTGTTTTCCTTACTCATTGATTTTTTCTGCAGCACTTCCTTTGACGAACTGCTCCTGTGATCTAAAGCCTTTGGTGAGACTTTATCGAATTCTTTCAAAGTAACGTATTTACTGTTTCCGTCGTTGGCAGCTACAGAAGGAACCCTCTTATGATTACTAACTTCTGCATCGCTACTGTTGTTCATTTTGTCAAGATCGATTTCAATACCATTACTTGTGGCAATCGCATTTGAATTACCGAATTCTAAAGGTGTTGCCACGAGCTCTCCTTTCTCTAGCACAGAACTCATTTCTTTTGATGACAACGTCTTTTCTACCTTTCCATCAAGGTCATCTTCCTTTTCTTCGTTTTCAACGATATCATCGTAATCATCAGTTTCATTGCCTTCGAGTTCCCCTAGAAGTTTTCGCGCTTCTTCACGAGCCTGATCTCTTTGCCTTTGGACTCCCTTTTGCATGAATGATAACTTGAACAGACCAGTTTTTCCGTTTGTCGGATCTAAATCGTCTTCCGTTTCTTGCAAGACTTTCCGTGCCGATTCTATTAGATTTTCGTCTTCCGAATCATCATGATTATCTTCTTCATCACTGCCCATCATCTTGCGTCGCAGATCGTCTCCTCTTTTCAGCTGTGCTGAAAGTGCTCGACGCGTATCAATATCAACGTTCTTACCCCGCTTCAAGATACGCTTTGCCCATTTACTAGTATTCTTGTGAGCAAGCGTCATCCGTTCTTGAATCCGTGCAACTTCTTCCTTCTCTTTTAATTCTTGAGCGAGATCTTGGTCATGCTCCAAAGCTGATTCAATGGCAGACTCCTTCAAACGGTCACGTTGTTTCTTTCTAATCTTGCGATACTTTTTAGACTTGATTTTTTTCATCTGATGTCTTTTTCGTTCGTGGTAAAACATGAGCGCTCTAATTTGGGCTAGTTGACCGCGCCTCTTTTTGTATTCCTCCATAGTCAAACGATTGGCACCCAAATCATCTTGCAACGCTTCTTCTTCCTTCTTTAGAACAGCTTCTTCATCCTGTTGTCCTGCTTCTTCTAATGCTTCTTCAATTTCCCTTTCAAAGTCGGTCTTTGCTTTAAACTTATCTACTAACATGTCTCGCGTCAATCCCGTGCGTTCCTTAGGTTTGAAATCTAAAGATTCAGCCTGACGATTTTGCTGTATGACATCGACCCATCTAGAAATATCCCTCGAGCGAGCCTCGTATGCAATCTTTCGCTCTGCACGGCTCGAGGTTTTCTTGTCCAAAGGCGCTGGTGTGGTGGAAGGCTTCGAGGAAAAAGATTTTTGCAAGTTTCGGAAGCCTTGTGTGTCTTGAATGCCCTCCATCAGGTTGTCCAACGTTAGGCCTTTCTTGGAGATTGAATTGGAATAATCAGATTCTGGAATCTTGACCATTTGTGCCACAGAAATTTTGTCATTATTTTTGTCGTCGCCAGTTCCAGAGTCGTCGAGTTTGTTCAATAGATCAAGCATGTATTGGCCACCATCTTCGTCGTCGTCGTCATCATCTTCCTCACTCGTAACCTCCGCCTCCGAAGACGACGTCGACGTCGACGAAATGCTTTTTTCACCGTCGTCTTCCTCACCATCGTCAGCAAAGAAATGGCCATATAGGCGCTCATCTTCCGAATTGAAGGCCTCGTCTTCAGGAATTTCTTCGTCATCAGAGTCATTGATATTCTCCACGATCTTCGGTGTTTGCGATCGATCAGACCGCAATGCTTCTGACCTCTTTTTTCCTTTTCGACCCATAGCTATAGCTTCGATTGTATTGATCTCAATGTTCAAACTGACCTCGAATGGTTGTAGTAGGCGATCGTTTTGTAAGCGCTTCTTGTTATCGTATTGAGAATTGAGAGGAATACAGGTTGTTCCAGAATGTGATGATTATATCATGATCGTCGGTTTGTTTGCTCCGTACCGTACGTACGGTAATCGAGCTCGTACTCAGTACAGTGCAACTTCAGTGAATTACGTACAGTAGTACGTACTCGTACCCTCCGGCCCTCGACTACAGAAATAATAATACCGTACTGTACGTAGTAACAAAAAGTAGTAATGTTCCCGGACGAGCACGACGACTTTCTGACTTTTTGAATGGTGACGGCTAACGTTTTTTGTAAATTGCAAATGGAGGGAAGACAGACCAAACTGTATTTGAATCGTATGAATCAAATTAGTCATCATCATTCCAAGGGGGAAAAAAGCAAAAACAAAACTAGTGTTCTTTCACACTTTAAAACTTCATTTTTTCACGCTTTTTTGAATCAGGACTCAGGACATTTCGTAACGTGCCGTAYWSWAYTMMWMTATTCCTATTTGCAGTATTCGTATTTTGTGTACTGGACGGCAGGGCCCAGAAACCTCGAGGAAGTAAAATCGCGAAGAATACGCCCTTTTTTCTCTCTTGCCCTGTAGCTGTACGATATAAAACCAGTACGATACCGTACGGTACGTATGTAATGACTCCTCCCAAAATGCCACTGCACCATATCGGTCGACCAGTTTCAGTACCGGTAAGTTMGTAGCATRGTGGCCGGTACGGTACTACCGTTCTACTGTAGTCGTAACATGAGGAAAATCGGGAGTAAGAAACGGAATACGTACCGTACTAGGTTGGCGGCATAACGAAGATCACTTGCACCATCTCAACATWCGCGATCCTCTTGTCACATTGAATAGAGAACAGTTTCGTCGTCTCGTCCGTTTCCAAAAGATCCTTGTCTTTGTGCATTTCCAAGTGCCATAGCAACACGTTCGAGGACGTCTAAATTCGTAGCAAACGYGATGAAGGTCGTGGCTGTGTTCAGAGCGTTGGTAACCCTCCTCTTCTTTCAAAAAGTGGACAGTCAGGAATGTGGAGCCAACGGCGATTGCGACAGTCACCAACGATGGTATGATCTACGAAACACATGATACTATGACTGCAAGAATGCTTTGCAAGACCTTTTTGAATTCCTCACAATCTGTGCTATTGTTCTTTAACTGCCTGTCAGTCCACTCTGGGAAATCGAAGGAGAATGGTACGTGAACATTTATGGTCGCAAGCAAAATACCGAAAAAACTGGCAACAAGTTGAACTTCGAGAGTGTCGAAATTGTTCTGGACACCGCTTCTTGCACGCTTTTGGCTCCTTCATACCAACTGTTAATTTAACCTTCGTGCTAGATTTGTTCTAACTTATTCATTTTCTTTCAATTTCGTCTTCATCTTGCGTCAAGCTATCGGAGTCCGGCATACATGGCAAACATTTGTCCAGTATCTTGTAGTGGTATGAAAGGAGCCCCGGCTCGGACAGAATGTTATGACGTCCACAAAAATTGTTCCGATTGGGCTGAAGTGGATGAATGCGAAACAAACAATGCCGTGAAAAACTATTGTCCATTGTCCTGCGGAAGGTGCACGGCAAAGGCTACGATTAACACCGTTGCGGAGAATACGGGATGCGGAGACGACAACGAAAACTGTAGCGCTTGGGCGGTAAGATCGATTTGTGCAACTCTTCCGTTTTATCTATCAATCGAATCGAGAGGCGACTTTTGAATTTACTRTACGTTACTTTGTTTCTGATTAGCTTCAATATGTGAAACGATTATTTCGCGACGCCACAGGATCTTGGAGAATGTGACAAAAATCCAAGGTATATGCTCGAGAAGTGTCGGAAATCGTGCGGTGTGTGTCACGGCACGGTGACGAGCACCGAAAAGACTCAAACAAAAGATTTTGTCGATTTAATTCAGCGCACTGCCAATTTTGGAGTCACTCAAACTGCAAGCGGTGCACAAAAAATGACAACCCTGGATCATATGGAAAAGATGATGAATTACTTGGGAAGCGATGACTACAAGTCGCTACCGTCACAAATCAAGATGCACTGCAAAAACCAGGTATGACATTGTTTGAAATCACGAAACAGGTTCCGAGCAAAGCAGACTTCCCTAACATGTTCTGTTTACTTTTACTTTTTAGAATGAATTATGTTCGTTTTGGGCTGGAATTGGAGAATGTGAAAACAATAAATCATTCATGAAGGTACAATGTGCGCCAGGTAGGTCGAAAATGCATTCCATTTATTTAGTGTCAGCGTCAAAATGATAAACTGTTAGCTTACAAGTSTCTTTCTGCAAAAGCTTGCCAAAGTTGCCACCTGATTGACATTGCCAATCGTTGCCCAAACCTTCCAGATGCCATTCCAGGCCTGAAAGAGGGAGATTTGAACAAAATGTTTGAAAGAATAGTCGAGGAAGCTCCCGGAAATAGGACGCTGACAGATCAAGATCGAGAGAAACTAGCATTGTTAGAGGTACCTGAATATTATGTAACGGTGCTTTCTAGACCAAGTGAAGTACCTGCGACCGAAGCAAATATTATATCGGATAGAAAGCTCCCTCCATGGGTTATAACGCTTGATAATTTTTTGACCGATGAAGAGTGCGATTCATTGATCCAGCATGGATATGAAGCAGGCTATAAGAGATCCCAAGATGTTGGCAAACAAAAATTCGATGGAATGCTTGAAAGTAAATTAAGCGAAGGAAGAACTTCCGAAAATGCTTGGTGTACTACAAGAAATGGCTGCAGGCATGCAACTGTACCAAAACGAGTCCTGGATCGATTGGCAAATGTGGTTGGAATTCCTCCTGAAAATAGCGAAGACCTTCAGATACTAAAGTATGAAAAAGGACAGTGTGAGTCGTAATGAAAATTGACTCTCTCAGCAGCAATGATTACTTCTCGTAAACTAACGTTTCCTCCTTGTGACTTTCTGATTCGTCTATGTTGCAAACGGAAAAAGTTTACAATGTAAGTTTAAATGCTCGCGTTCAAGAGACGTCATGCATTGCTCTTTTGATCCGTTCAATTTCTAACACATTATGTTCAACACTTTGATGATTCTTAGACTCACCATGATTATATACCTTATCAAAAAATGAGGCAGTGTGGTCCTAGAATCCTAACTTTTTTCTTATACCTTTCGGATGTTGAAGCTGGAGGAGGCACAGATTTCCCGAAATTGGGAATCACCGTAATGCCCAAGAAAGGACGAGCACTTCTTTGGCCAAGTGTTTATAATGCGGAGCCTATGAATGAAGACAGGCGTATGAAGCACCAGGCATTACCTGTTGTTGCTGGAACAAAATTCGGAGCTAATGCTTGGATTCATATGTACGTTTCATTTCATTGTTATGTTGATCTTCGTTTCTTTTCGTAATTTGCTTCAAACGCATATCATTTGCTAACAAGTATCCCTTCATCTGAATGCATACAATACTAGGTATGACTATCAGCATCCACAAGAGAATGGATGTAACTAAATATTCATGTAAGACTGATGACACACTAAATTTACTTTTGAAAGTCGTAATCAATCTTCGCGAAGTTACACTTGTTACGGAACATAACATAGCGATTGAGAAATCTTCGTAGATGCAAAAGTGGAAATATGAAGTATTCCTTTGGGAACCCAATGAAAATATCAATAGTGCCAAGCCGTTCTTAGAGTAATCTCAGTATCATTCACCTGATTCTGTGTCATGAATAAAAACAAAAGACATTTTAGCTCCAAGTCACCTCTTTAGTAGATGACCATGAGATCAAAACATAGGTTTATTGTGCAATATCTACTTTAGAGGAATTGAGATGATGCTCGAGCAGTTTTGTATTGAAACCATTGATTAAAAAGTACAGTACTGAGTGAATACTCAGAAATGAAGCTACTACTATGCCCTACTAAATCTTTACCATCTACATAGACCATTGATCAATCTGGACAAATTATGTTATAACAGTAGCTAATACATGTCATGTTGGATATCATCATTCATAGTACAAATTGCCAAGCTAAAACAACCTGAAGAGAAAAATAAACAAATTTGTATGAGCTACTATGATGAGGATAACAATTTGAAGTAGGAAGGAGCAACTAAGAAGAAAAAGCATATTACTTCTCACATAAACAACAAAATACTATCTTGAGTGAAAAAACTACTGCTTGGCAAGTAAAAGCCACAYTGAGACATTAACATCATTGTAAGAACAAGATGATATTGTAAGCAAATCATGCACATTCATCAAAATGATGAAGTAAGATGAAATTTCCAACAAGACCATAAATGGACTCTTAGACAACTCTGCAGAGGAAGCTGATTTAAGCAGAAATGCATTGCTCCTCACAGTTTTTCCTCACAGTTTTTGTAAGCAAAACAAGCAGCACAAGAACAAAAATTGACTTGACCCAAAGAAGCGTCACCAACTGCTGGTGTAAATAGTACAACTGATACTTCTTAACTATCCACAAGAACCATCTAGATTGCAGATGAAGTATGCCCAATGAAATTTCCCATTMTTTTAACAATTATCCCCATAGCTTTCCATAAAAACACATTTGCAAGAYGATTAACCTCTCGCAATGCTACTGCAATGCTACTACCATGTGAGAGGAGCTAGGAATGACTGCAAGAGCATCTCAGTGAGCCTTATACACCTGTTGAATGAAGATAATCTTGGTATATCAGATAAGAGAGTCTTATTTTTTGTTCTTCAAGAAAAGAGCCCATTTAGCTCTGGTACCTCTGATGGCAAGAARGAACCAATAGGGACCACTTCATTCCATGTAAAAAATCATAATCACAGAAGTCCTCAGTACTAATCCTCAATGTAGCCTCCAATTAATCCACCAAATATTACTACAACAATGAAAGAATGATTGTGAAAGAAATCAATGGCCCTGTCAAGAACTGAACAAAGCCCGTGATAAAAAGCTCCCAAAACAATGTTGAAAAATTAGAGTTGGCTACCAAATGTATGCACCAGTCCTACATTTTGGGCCCTTATTTTGTGTGTAATGACTACTTCTTGTTTCACCAAAAAATAAATAGATACAAAATGCATGTGCTCAGTACTTGAATTTTTGAATCCCACCTGTTGTGCAACCAAATAGTTTCAGTCTTGTTGCAACCAAATAGTKTTGCTTGCATGTATACACTGTAGCCATAGTACAAGTAAATTTTTAATCCCACCAGTCATTACATGGTAATTAGATGGCCCAAAATTGATGCACAGTAGAAAAACATGTAGAACATTAAAGAGAGATTCAACTTACTCAAACAGCTATAACTTTGTCCCCAATGGACACTTAAGTATGGTAAGCACATGAATCAAAAGCCAATAGCAAGACATTTCTTGTCATTTTTTTTGGGGGGGGGTTGTTATAAGGAGTTAATGAATATTGAAAGGTATACAGCACTGTATATCTGAAGTAAAAAATGTACAAATGGTTTGGCCGGAAACGAGTAGCCAAGCCTATTGYATAAAGTTGGCGCCCAAATGTACAAACCAGTTGTACATTTTGGGCCCTTATTTTTCATTTAATGACTGCTTTGACTAAATAACTGCACGTGCTAAATTTTTGAATCCCACATTTGTGTGACCACAAATAGTTTCAGTTGTGCGACCAAAATAGTTTTGCTTGCAYGTGCGCTGTAGCCCTAGGACAAGTCAAATTTTAATCCCACAAGTCATTACACAATAAAAAGTTACTCACTCAAACAGCTATATCTTTGTCCCCAATGGACGCTTAAGTATGGCAATCACATGAACTGAAAGTCATTTTTAAGAGCTTTCTCACAGTGTGGGGGAGTTGGGGGTTCTATTCTTGGAACATATTGTTATTGGTGTATGAATAGGATTAAGAATGTGGTTTGGCCAGAATCACTCCGCCGAGCCTATAATAGGATAATATTGGAAATGAAAATTAAAGACACAGAATACTTCATTTTCTTAAGAAGCACTGCATCAGAAAGTAACAATGTCAACACCAGAGTGGTGCTCTGCCTCTTGAAAGGGCAGGATTCTGCAGTCTGGTATTCCCCTGCTCCCATCTCTCCCTGTTGCTCTGGTGAATATCCTTCTAGAGTCCCCTTCAACCCCTCTCCTGCTCCTATTGGTAGTATTTTGCCACAGCAGTAATCGCCCTTGTTTCTGCATCAGAATATATTTTCAGTCCTTTCTCATATGCTGTTGATTGTCCCATCAATACTTGATGAAAATAATTCAAATTATTTGGTGTGTCTTGGTGCTACTAGTAGTACAACGGGGAAAACAAGAAGGACCTCTGGATAATTGATCTGTATGTCTGGAGGGAAGCAGTACAGGTGGCCGGACCGATGGTGAAAAACAATAAAACACACATGCCAATGTACCTTACCCTTCTGACACAACACCTCCAACGGGATGAGTGATATACCAGATTCACGTTTCGACAGAAAGACATCCTCTGGTTCCGCATAAAGTTCCCCAAAAGGCGGGTTATAGTTGACCAAAGGTTGGGGTTGAGGTTCTTCAGACTCGGTGGTGTCCCCGTCAACGTTGTTGTTGACGACTGACGAGTTCACATATTTCCGATACGCGGACTCAACCAAGCTTAGAAATTCAGATACAAGTTCATAACTACGGATGGAGCTAAGAGCCTCATGAGTAAAAGTTGACACCAACGATGGAATAACTTCTTCAAAAATATCGCTCTCCAGGCCTTCATGGTATTTGAAATTAGATTCAGTAACATAGYGGTACTGCCAGAAAACCTTCAAGGCATKTTTGGCATTGTACAATTTCTGTCGAATRCGGGTATCCACATTTGCCCCAGCAGGTTCCTCACCGACTGATGGTACTGGTTGCTTAGCAGCCACCCGTAGGTCAGTGAAGGTAAGAAAAGGAAAAAACTGCTCCAGGTTTGCTCTAAYGAAGACATAATCCTCCTGTGATGTCCTAATATTCTTGCAGCCAATCTGCTTCTTTCTCACACGACGTCCGTTGATTGKTTTGTTAAACATGTGGGATCGAATTGAGTGGGTTATGTCGCCCAAATTCGTTTTCTTGAATGCAAGGGGATCAGGTCTGGATGACAAAGCATCAAGAGGAATTKTCGACCATTGATTGTTAGCATTAAGCTTCTGACGCTTGTACATGGAAAGATTGCTTGTCAAACAGGAAAGGAAGAAGTTGATTTTGGATTTGTTAGCAGGGTCATCAAAAGAATCGGCTTTACCATTAAAGGTGCTAAGATCCGAGGGAGGCTGACAAAACCAGTTCTCATTCATGGCTTGAGATATCACTGAGAAGCGCCCACAAATTCTTTGGAACATACCATCGACAGAAGAGGACAAACAAGAAGAAGCTGTTTTCATTTCGGCTATTTCGGTCCAGTACAGATGTTCCAGAAAACACAAAGATTGACATCTGCGGTCCATGAGTTCTTCCAGTTCCTGAATGTGTTCCAACAATTTTTCTACATCAAGAGAAAAATAGTAAGGTCTAGTAGTAGGGTTGACTTGGTGTTGAAGTGTGGCACACGCATCTAGCATCGATGCCTTGAACTGCTTTGTTAGGTGATTGACAGACTTGATACAATGTGGTGGAGAGAACCTGTCCAACCATGACACAGCACTAGAAAGGTTGGGTTGGTTTGGTGAAACGTTATCAACAATAGCTTGTTTGGTGAGGGAATATACAGCAGCAATTTCATCCAATATTTCCGAAGACTTGTTCAACACATATTCATGGCGGTGGAAGATGAGTATGAGATGGGGAACAGCATCAGCRTAAACCGACTTGTTAGAATGGATCAATTTGCTGGTAAGCTCTTTCGACGTAGTACCGGGTGGCATCTTGGTAGGCATCGTGGTTAGAACGTTGAAATTAGGTAAAGGWKAGGATTGATTGTCGATTGTGAGATAGTGATGCAGCGATGACCTAAAACACAATTTATGTCATCAACCCAAATGTTGTTTGCTGCTGTTTTCTGGAAAAGCATCGCACCAACAATTACAAGTTAAAACCACCATCTCCCACYGTGGAGAGACATATATAACATGTATCTTAATTGACAGGGATATACATGCAAAGAATGACAATCAGGATYGTGATTTGGGTTGTTGTTACTGGTTTGGGTTGTGGTTCGGATTTTGGTTTCYGTTTCTGTATCTGACAATTCAGAAAAAAACRAATAGTTGTGGTACAGGGTGTTCACGATTTTCTGCTTGGGTGGTGCAACGGATAAAAAATAAGTGCAAAAAGTCAGAGTGATTTGTTGTCTGGTAATGCAAACTTCTTGGATATCACAACGGTTAAACACTGTCACAACCTATGGTGACCTGTATCATCACACAAAAATGGGTTCACGAGGTGCCATGATTTCGCTTGGAGAAAACGCGACCAATGTGACATAAATACCAAGCATGAAGCATGTGAAATAAAAAAAGGGGGGTGGGGAATTAAAAAAAAAGGGAATCTATGGGATGTGAGGGGTCGGGAACACTTTTTGTGACGTAGTAATACTAGTCAAAAGGATAAATAGTTATTGATCATTCTTAAAAATGAAGTGACATAAAATCTGTGTCAGGAAGTGGAATTCTGCTTGTCCCTAGATTTTTCTGCTAGTGGAACCCCCCCCAACTTTCAGCTTCACTTTGCTTGAATATTTTAGTCACTACTACTAAAATCAACAGAAGACTTGTTGGTTGTTAGTATATTCTTTGCTCTTATTGGTGCATCACTTTC